TGTTGTTCCTACACAGAACTCCTAGGAAGGAAACCCAAAGGGGAGAAGCAGTGTGATGAGCCGTAGGGCAGGAGGCTGCTGTTGAGCAGAAACCTGGCAGGGGTGAACAGCTATTAAGACTCCCACTGCTCCCTGGGGAAAGTTACTGCCCAGGCAAGGGAGCAGGATCAGGCACTCACTTCTTTGCTTTAGCCACTGCTTCGATGAAAACCTGTTTATATTTCTGTACTTGCTGCCTCAGAACCACAAATTTGTCTTTCTTGCCCTCACAGATCAGCTTCAGATCAGCTTCCAGCTCAGCCCGGAGGTCAGGCTTGGACATTTCATAGCCCATGGAGTCATAACCTGCAGGAAAAGAGTGCTACTCTGTCAGCCCACCCAACACCGCCACCTGCACCCCTGCAGGGTCAGCCCACCCAACACTGCCACCTGTACCCCTGCAGGGTCAGCCCACCCAACACCGCCACCTACACCCCTGCAAGTCCCCTCCTTGCTTACCTTCCACAAGCCCCATGCCCAGGTGCCCAGGGAGGAAGCGCTTGTCTGGGGTGAGGCCCACATACATTCGGGCTTTGATGGTCTCAATGTGCTCAGCATGGGTGGCATCAGTACCTGCAAGCCATTCCCCTGTTACACTGGTTGCAGACAACTGTACTCAGAGGGTGCCTTGCTCACACTGGACCCCTTCTCTGTCTGGACAGCCAATATAGACAAGATGCTGCCATTCCCATATGGTTTATGAGAGAAATCACAATGGCAACCTCAACCCTCACATCTGATTACTCATCAGGGCTGTCAATTCCACCTTGAAACCTCCTTTAAATCTTTCCCTTCATGTGTCAGAGCTACATCATCAAAACATCCTCATTCTCTCCATTTCTGGTCTTTCCCGCCACCTAACCCATCCTCTAAGCTGTGGGCAAAAGGACCTTTTAAAATGTAGCTCTGTGGTGTAAATCAAAACCACAATAAAATACCACTTCATAGCACAGGCATAATCAAAATGATAATACCTAGTGTTGGTGAGAACGTGGAGAAACCAGAACCCTACCTAGCACATTACGGTGGGAATGTCAAATGTATAGTCACTGCGAAAAACAGCTTGGCATGCCTCAAAAGGTTGAAGTACAGGTACCACATGACACAGCAATCTCACCCTAGACACACGCCCGTGAACTGAGAACACTTGTCCACATAAAAGCTTGTAAGTGACGGTTCACGGCAGCATCATACAAAATGGCCAGAAAATAGAAAAAAGCCAAATGTCCTAGACTGGTAAGTGGACAAACAAAATACAATCTATATATACAATGGATATATATATTTGGTACTAAAAAGGAACAAAATGAAGTTATTTTTTTGTGGCCCAGGTGATACCTTGATTTCAAGGAATGAAGTTCTCAGGTCAGGAACAGGGGCTCACACCTATAATCCCAGCATTGTGAGAGGCTGAGGTAGGAGGATCTCTTGAGCTCAGGAGTTTGAGACTATCCTCAGCCAGAGTGAGATTCCCATCTCTACTAAAAATAGAAAAACTAGCCAGGCATTGTGGCAGGGGCCTATAGTCCCAGGTACTTGGGAGGCTGAGGCAGGAGGATCCCTTGAGCCCAGGACTTTGAGGTTGCTGTGAGCTATAATGCTATAGCACTCTACGCAGGGCAGAGTGAGAGTGAGACTCTGTTTAAAAAAAAAAAAGGAACAAAGTTCTGACACCTGCTGTAATATACAGACGAACCTGAGGTCAGTTAAAAGCCATATACTGCATGATTCCCTCCATAGAGAATGCCCAGGGGCAGCGCCTGTGGCTCAAAAGGGTAGGGCACTGGTCCCATGTGCTGGAGGTGGTGGGTTCAAACCCAGCTCCAACAAAAAAAAAAAAAAAAAAAAAAAAGAGGCTCTGGTGCCTTTGCCTCAAGCGGCTAAGGCACCAGCCACATACACCTTAGCTGGTAGCTTTGAATCCAGCCGGGCCGCCAAACAACAATGGCTGCAACCAAAAAATAGCCAGGTGTTGTGGTGGGCACCTGTAGTCCCAACTACCTGGGAGGCGGAGGCAGGAGACTTGCTTGAGCCCAGGAGTTGGAGGTTGCTGTGAGCTGTGATGCCATTGCACTCTACCCAGGGCGACAGCTTGAGGCTCGGTCTCAAAAAAAAAGAGAATGCCTAAACAGGCACGTCTCTCAATTAGAAAGCTTAGTAGTTGCCTAAGGCTGGAGGCTTAGAGGGAAGGAGGATGGGAAGTCACTGCTATAAGGGTACAGGGTTTCTTTCTAAAGGGATCAAAAAGTTCTAAAGCTGATTGCAATAAGGACATCACAACTTTGCAAATGTACTAAAATGTGAATTATACAGTTTTTTTTTCTGACAGAGCCTCA